AAGGCTACATACTGTATGTTTCCAACTACAAGACATTCTGGAAAAGGCAAAACGGTGGAAACAATGAAAACATCAGTCATTCCTAGAAGTGGGTACAGGCAGAGTGCATAGGCAGAGCACAGAGGATTTTTACGGTAGTGAAAATACTCTGTATGATACTAAAATGATGTCAATTTGCATTTGTGCAACCCCATAGAATGTACAACCCCTAAGGCAACCTACGGACTTTGGGTAATTATGATGTGTCAGTGGAGGTTCACGTTGATAAAAATTGCATGATTCTGGTGGGTGATGTTGATAATGAGGGAGTTATGCATGTGTGGGAGGCAGGGAGTTTAGGGGGTACCCTACACCTCCCTCTAAATTTTGTTGTAAATCTAAAACAGTGCTTTAAAAGTATTTAAAATGTAAATACTGCTATTTCTCATATTTTATTTTCTGTATTGATTTCAATACTTTTAGTTGAGGGGAATCTTTTAAAGCATACACATTTTTAAAATTACATAGATTGTCTTGCCAAAAAGCCTGAAAATCATACAGGGAAGTTTGATAAGAGTCCACTAAGGACACATTAAATTATCTTTATCTTAATGCCAAGTGTTTGTGGAGTTACTTGAATTTAATTTCTTTGTTTGCATTTAAAATTTTTATAGATGTGATAAATAAGGATAAATATACCTATTAAAGGACAAATAAAGATCACCAAAAAAGGTTCCTTGTGATTCCTGAGTTCTATGGCATATATATCAGACTGCAAACCCTTTGGCTACACTGAAAAAATTGACAACTCGACAACAAAATACCTTCTCCCCACTTTCCGTGGGATGTGCTAAAATGTGGCCACTGTGGCAGAGGAAATGAGTTAAAAGAAACTAATTTTAAATGATTCCCTAAAGAAAACATGGAGATAGCACCTCTTTCACTGCCTGTGATTATTTAAGTAGATTTCACTAATATATTTGTTAGAAATAGTTGCTTAGCCATAACCAGTTTGGCTCAGTGGATAGAGCATCAGCCCACAGACTGAAGGGTATTGGGTTCTACGCTGGTCAAGGGCACATACCTTGGTTGCAGGCTCTATCCCTGGCCATGGTGGGGTACATGCGGGAGGCAGCCAATCCATGTGTCTCATTCCCTGTTTCTCTCTCTGTGTCTGTTACCCTCCCTTCCACATGCTCTAAAAATCAATGGGGAAATATCCTTGGGTGAGGATTAACAACAACAACAAGAAAAAGTAGTTGCTTAATTTAAGGGAGGGTTGGAGGTAATAAATAGTAGTTGAACCAATCAACAGAAAATAAAGCTACCTCCAATATTTATATGCAAAGGTCTTGAAAAGGTTGTTCTATAGTAAAATACTGTCAATCATAGTATTTTATGGTGTTTTATTTTTGTTGCTATTGTTGGTATTATTTTTCTCCTAAAACTCTTCAAAACTTAAAGAGGTTGAATTTTATATGAGAATCAAACTCTTATTAAGTCAGCCTTTTTGAATGAACTTCTACTGTACTCTAAAGGTGAATTCTTGCTGCTTGATCTTAGTAGTTCTTTTATGCATTCAATTAAGCCTGGGAGAGTGTCTTTTGAATGTTTAATTGTGAAGTGCATTTGAAACAGCTTCTGTTTCATAACCCTTTTGTAGAACTTTCAAGCTCTATTTAGATAACAATATGCATTGAATTGAATGGAAAACTTGACATATGTCTAAGTTTATTTTTCTATCTATGTCTGTGCCTTTTGTAACCTATACACTGAATTTTATCCTCACTAGTGTTTGAGTCTAGAAAATAGGAAATCTGAGAATCTATGCCCTATATGAAGGCAGGGCCATGCTGAGTCAAGACTTATGTAACTGAGGGGTAAGTTCCAAGCCTGGATGGATCAAATGAAAGCTTGGGGAACTTGCCATATTGTTTTTCACTCTTTGCTGATTAATGTGGATTTCAGTTACTCAGCTTCAGGATTGATGATTGATTACCTCTCCATCCCCCCGCCCCCCAGTTTTGAGTAGGTAGTGATTTTTAAGTCTTCTGTTATACCTGAAATACGTTAACCAAAGCTTATCATATAACCCTTGGTTATAATATCTTAAAATAGATGTTAGCATGGTCATTTAGGGGACTATTTACTCAAATATTTGTTGTTCTTACTGTATTTAATCTGTTTTTCATTTTAGTGGAAGTAAATTTAATGCTAAATATAACATTTTTTAAAATTGCCCTATCAGGATACTAATTAGTGGCCTGGATAAAACAAAATAGAATTTCAGTCATGCACTGTTTCTCTTTGCTACTCAGTCTGCTTACTGAGATTACTTGTAACAACTTTTTTGGTACAAAGTTAATTTTACTATTAACCAAAACAAAACCCCTAAGGTGAAGATATAGTAAAATAAATAATATTTTTAGACATATCCATTAGATTATTCTTTTCATAAGGTACCAGGTACTTGAAAATAGAGCTAATGAGTCCTGTTGAATATTTGTAGTTTATTTTTATGAAATTACTAGTGTCCGGGTGCATGGATTCATTCACATTGAAAGGAAATTAATTAGTCCCTTGGGTGCAAAGCCGAATGCAGGCAGTCCCAGGTGGTGGGTGGCGGGGTGGGACTGGGCAAGATGGGTCGGACATGCCCTGCAGCCAACCTTCCACAGTCCCTCCCCGCTGGCCACACCTGGGCCAGCGCTGCGGCTTGAAGGGCATCTGCGGAGTGAGCAGGATCCCTCCGGCAGGTGAGGTCCCTCGGCCTGGCCTATGGGGATTGGGCCAAAACCAGTTCTCTGACATCCCCCAAGGTGTCCTGGAGTGCGAGAGGAATTGTGAGGAATCAGTCTCCCTCCTCTCTGGTTCTGGGGTATCACCTGAGAACCACCGCTGCCAAGTGACCACAGCTCGGCAGCTCCTCCGTTGAGCATCTGCCCCCTGGTGGTCAGTGTATGTCATAGCTACTGGATGGTGGGACGGTCGCTTAGCCTTTTATCCTATACTAGTGGCCCGGTGCACGAAATTCGTGCACTTGGGGGGGGGCGTGACTGGGGGGGGGGTCTCCCAGCCTGGCCTGTGCCCTGTTACAGTGCGGGAGCCCCGCAGTCCATCACCCCAAACAGGTAGGCCCCACCCACCCATCCTGGGCTTCTCGATGGATTGCCCTAAAGAGATAGGCTGGAGCCAGGGGAGGCCTGCAGACCCCCAGCCGGGCCCACAGTGGAGGGGCCTCTCCATGCGCCTGCAGACCTCCGGCTGGGGCTGCAGGGGAGAGGCCTCTCCTCCGTAGCCCTGCCCCCGTCCCTGACGCTGCAAGTTCCTGCTCACCCATGCCTGATGCGCATGCAGCCTGCTGATCGGTCATTACTGTGATGGCGTCCTGACCAGTTTGCATATTACTCTATTATTAGTATAGACTAGAGGCCCAGTGTGCGATATGTGAGACCCAGACCCACCATGCTGGCGGGATCCAGACTGACTCCTGCCGCGCTGGGTGGGACGCGGTACCCAGACTGACTCCTGCCGCTCTGCGAGACCCAGAGTCAAGTCCCCGCCCACCTGCACACGCCTCGCTGCACACGCAGCCTCCTGGTGACCAGTCTTTGGTCATCACAGCATGACAGCATCACGGCCAAGGGTTTTTTATAATAGAGGCCCGGTGCACAAAATTCGTGCACAGGGGGGTGGTCCCTTAGCCCGGCCTGCACCCTCTCCAATCCGGGATCCCTCAGGGGATGTCCGACTGCCGGTTTAGGCCCTGCGGGATGCAATCCAGGACCACTGGCTCCTAACTGCTCGCCTGCCTGCCTGATCACCCCTAATCACCCATCTGCCTGCCTGATTGCCCATAACCACTCACCTGCCTGCCTGATTGCCCCTAACTGCCTCTGCCAGCATAATCGCCCCCTAACTGGTCCCCTGCCAGCCTAGTTATCCCCTAACTGCCCCCTGCCGGCCTGGTCACCCCCACCTGTCTGGAAGGAAGTCAGACTTCCGGAAAATGTCTGGTCAACCTGGTTTAATTAGCATATTACCCTTTTATTAGTATAGATAATAAAAGCCTAATATGCAAAACAACAGAAAGGCGGAACAACCAGTTGCTATGATGCACACTGACCACCAGGGGGCAGATGCTCAACATAGGAGCTGCCCCCAGCCCTCAGGCCCAGACTGGCGGTGGTGGGAGGCGGGGCCAGTGAGTGGGCAGCGCCAGGCCAACAAAGGCGGGTGCCAGTGGGGACCCTTCAGTCGCCTGACCGGTCACCCCGCAGATCGGCCCTGATTACCAGCTAGGCCTAAGGACCCTACCTGTGCATGAATTTCATGCACCAGACCTCTAGTATATATAGATTTTACTTGAACAATTTAAGCATTCCCTTCCTTCAGGATATCAAGAGGGTGTGATTAGTCCAATTTTATTCTACTTTTTCAAAACAAAATATCTAGATTTCCAGATGCTTTACTAATTTTATATAAGGTGGAACAAAGTTCTCTTTTTCTCAGTATTACCAATTATCCAGTTATTTCCCATCAGCATTATCTATATCAGTTGTAAGGCTGAGGCAGTTTTACTCCTCCAGGGGACATTTCACAATTGATACAACGGGGGCTGTTACTGGTATGCAGTTTGGAGGGAGGCAGGGATGCTACTAAACCTTCTAAATGTGCAGAGCAGCCCCCTTCCACCATAAAGATTTATCTGGCCCTAATGTTAATAATGCCCCAATTGAGAAAGCATGGTGTATATGACTTCATCTTTAAATTGTAAGGTAATAAAAGCATCACCCATAAATTCAGCATCCATATTTATACGGCCGTGACACTATTTAGTCATTGACGGACTTATGAAAAAGATTTGAGGTGGCTGCACATGATACAACTGAGTTATTCCTCAAAGGTTGTTCAATTATAGGAAGTTATCAGTTTGTGTCTGCACTTTTTAAGTTACAGAAATGGCTTCACTTCTTGAGATTGAGTTCATGGAATTCTTTGTGTGTTTTTTTTCTTTCAAGCACTTAAATATAATTCCAATATTACGAAGGAGAAAATCATCATTATATCTGTGGCTGGACTAGTTCTCAGTATATTAGTCATTGTTGGAGCCGTTCTCTTCATCCCAGGTAAGATGTGCAGTTACTATAAGGGAAATCAGGGCTGATAAGGTTGAGAACATTGTTGGGGGGGGGGGGCTTCTGTAACCAATTAGCACAAACTGGGTGTTTTAAAACAATAGCAATTCTCTCAGTTCAGAAAACCTTATGTCTGAAATAAAGATGTCATCATGACTATACTCCCTCCCAAGACTCTTGGGGAGAATCCATTCCTTGCCTCTTCTATTTTCTGGTGTTTGCTAGCAATTGTTGCAATTCCTTGGCTTCTGGCAGAGTAACTCCAGTTTCCACTGTGTTAAAACTCCTTTTGCTTTTCTCTTCCAAAGACACTTACTGAATTTAGGCCCCACCTCGTTAATCTAGGATAAGTTCCTTCTTTCAAGAACCTAAACTTTTTTCATATATTTTGCTGTATAATGTAATGCTCACCCTAATTCACAGCTTCCAGGAATTAGGGGGTAGGCTTATTTTTAGAGCCACCATTTAACCCACTGCAAAGGCAAACTTCATCAGGCCAGACATGGAAGTGGGAATGAAAATGGGAAACAAATCAATCTGAAACTGCATTTGACTTTTGGGGGATGGGAATGGGATTCGGGAATAAGGGTATGCAGCACATGGAAAGAACAGCAGGGATAGGCTGGGACTCAAAGTGTAGATGTAGAAAGCCTAGTTTTATTAACAGAATACAATATGGGTGTAATGTTTAGGAACAGAAATTTGGCAGTTCTCTTTGCAGCTGAAGTTAGTGAGGGTGTGGTGAGGAAAGGATGAATTAAGAAGACAGCTACAAAGAATAGCTATTTTGACTTTAGGACAGATTGAATATAGCAAATGAAGGGATTGGTAAGAGGCTCCAAGGTAGTTAAGAAGGAGGAAAAGCCAATTGAATGTTTCCACATATTGAGATTTAGATGTTGACATTTAGATGTCTTCAGTTTGGTCTTAAATAAAAAAATTCACTTATTTTGTGTGAGGTTTTAGAGTAAGCATTTATTTTTAAAGGTTTTGCAGTTTATAAGAGTAGTATTGAGATGAATACATTTAATAAATTAAGTACTTTAATTTCCCACAGAGTAGGAAGTATGTAGGAAAATATTTTAAATATTAATTTTATTTATCAACAGGTGAATATTCAACAAAGAGGGCCAGTGGACTTGGTTTAATTGTAGTTCCTACAGTGATATTAATATTACTTCAGTACTCTGTGTTTATGATAGGTAAGTATTTGTTGTTTTAGCATGATTGTGCCCCTTTTCATTTAAAAAGCAGCATTTTTGATTAAAATATTTTTGTATGGTTTTATATAATACAATAAGAGTTAGGTTCTTATAATACAACTAGAGGCCCGGTGCATGAAATTTGTGCAGGGAGGGGGGGTGTGTCCCTCAGCCCAGCCTGCACCTTCTCCAGTCTGGGACCCCTTGAAGGATGTCTGACTGCCCATTTAGCCCCAGTGGGATCGGGCCTAAACGGGCAGTCGGACTTCCCTCTCACAATCCAGGACTGCTGGCTCCCAACCACTCGCCTGCCTGCCTGCCTGATTGCTCTTAAACACTCCCTGCCAGCCTGATTGATGACTAACTGCTCCCCTGCCGGCCCGATCGCCCCCAACTGCCCTCCCCTGCAGGCCTGGTCACCCCTACCTGTCCTCCCCTGCTGGCCTGGTCGGCCCCAGCTGCCCTCCCCTGCAGGCCTGGTCCCTCCCAAGTGCCCTCCCTTGCTGGCCATCTTGTGTCCACATGGGGCGGCCATCTTGTGGTTGGAGTGATGGTCAATTTGCATATTACTCTTTTATTAGATAGGATAAAAGCTATTCTTCATGAAATTTTCCCTATATGGATTAATTTTAATCTTTATTAGGTTATCAAGGTATTTATTTTGTAAAATAGTGATTTTCAGAATATATTTAATGCCAATAGTGGATTTTTAAAATTATGCTACATAATTTCTTAATGATGATCTTCATATTCTTATTTCAGATTTTGAACTTATAAGGAAATATTAAACATTCTCATTCTTTTGCTAAAACTCTCTTTAAAAAACTAGTTATACAAAATAGGGTTGTAAATCATAAAGAGTTATTGCAAATATTAACATTGAGTTTTAAAAGTTATACATTATGATAGAGCTATCTAACCTATAATTGGTACCAATTTCCACTGCATTTTGGGAGTAAATCACTAAATATTTTTAATATTAAAGAATCTATTTTTTCCATTAGCACATTTAACTCTTGGTATGAGAGCCTATCTCTAGGTTGTTATATATTAAGATGGTATTAATTTGTTCTAAAACCACAATTAGGGGTTATGATGTCTACAATGGCATGCTTGCACAGTGGTTCTCCACCAGAGTGATTTTGTGTGCACGTGGTGAGACCCTGCTAACAGCCACTCTTATTGTAAAATACCCACGTGTGGTAAAAGCAACATTATTCTAAGATTTGGGATAAAAACTGCCAATGCAGCTCAGCTCCCTGCAGAAATGAAAAGCTACTGAGGGTGTGAATGTGGAGCTGACTCCTGGAGTGGAGAGAGATGGCTTAGGTCACTGGGAAAGCAGCCACCACCTGACACGGAGCTCCAGAGTCAGTCTTCGGTCCTAGGATACCGACCTTGACTGTACGAAATACAAGTGGAAGTGATTGCTTCTTAAACACTCACAACATGCTTTTTCCTTGCAGCTCCAGCTATTGGGATGCTCCCCATCAGCATCATCTTATTGATCATTCAGGTGCTGGGCCTTTTGATCTCTGTGGTTGGACTAAGCCTCTGTGTCTCAGGTGAGGGTCACAATCTTCTCTAAACAATTTCTCTCTTACCAGTAATTTCTCTTAGAAAAAAAGATCTTTTTCTCTTTCCTTTTCTTTGTCTTTCTTATTCTGTTTTAAATACATGGACTTTATTTGTGATAGCATTTTAGGCTCACAGCAAAACGGAGTGGAAAATACAGAATCCCCCTCTACCCCATCTACTCACAGCCTCCTCCTCTATCAACATCTCCCACCAAGTAGTACATTTGTTACAGTCTGTTGAACCAACATTGGCACAACATTATCACCCAAAGTCCATCGTTTGTATAAGGGTTCAGTCTTGGTGTTGTATGGTCTATGATTTTTATAAATGTAATAGACGCCCAATGCACAAATTTGTGCATGAGTGGGGTCCCTTGGCCTGGTAGCGATTAGAGCCAATAGGGGGAGCCAGCTGGATGGGGGAAGGGACTGCAGGAGGTTGGCCCCAGTAGCAAGCTAACCAACAGCTGATTCCCCAAGGAATTGGGCTCCCTCCTCCTTCCTGTCTGGGTCGGGGTGCAGGTGAACCAGATTCGAGGCTATCAGGGCCCCACCTGCAAGGTAAGGTATGGCTGATTCCATGAGGAATTGGGCTCTCTCATCCCTCCTGTCTGGGGTTGGGGTATGGGTGAACCAGATCATGGCTGTCAGGGCCCCGGTAGCAAGGTCTGGGTCAGTGTGCATCATTCCTGTTGTTTGGTTGGAAGGGTTGCTTAGGCTTTTATATATATAGATATGACATGGACCATAATCATAGAATATCATATAGAAAAGTTTACCTGCCCTACAAACCCTTGGTGCTCTGCCCATTCATCCTCCCTATTCTGAAACCCTGGCAACCACTGATCGTTTCACTGCCTCAATAGTTTTGCATTTTTCAAAGTGTCTTATACTTGAAATCATACAGTATCTAGCTTTTTCAAATCGGCTTCTTTCACTTAGTAGTATGCAGTTAAGTTTCCTCCATGATTTTGTTTAGCTTGATAACTCATTCCTTTTTATCACTGAATAATATTCCATTGTTTGAATGGACGATAGTTTATCTATTCACCTATTGAGGGACATCTTGGTTGCTTTCAGTACATGGGAAAGGTATTGATTTGTTATAAAATCACAGAACTAGACACACAATATAGAAGTGCATGTTTTTGTGTCGACATGTCTTTTCAACTTCATTTGGGAAAATACTAAGGAGTGCAATTGCTAGATTGTATGTTAAGAATATCTCTAGTTTTGTAGCAAATTACCAACTGTCTTCCAAAGTGGCTGCACCATTTTGTGTTCCCACCAGCAATGAATGCACATTTCTGTTGCTTTACATTCTTGCCGGCATTCAATGTTACGAGGTTCTTTCATTTTTCACTATCATTTTGTCCCCACTGAGATTAGTGCTTTCCTACTGGCTGTATATAGCTTATGGGCTGATTGTTTAGTGGCCAAACTGCCACGCCTGTATTCATGGATGAGCTTTTAAAAGAACCATTTGGGTGGAGGTTTAGGCTTCACAGACTATTTCCCATTAGTTTTGATGTGATAAGGTACATGCTATGCCAACAAAGCTTTTCTATTTTAATAGTTTGGAGTCATTTCATTGACTGAGTTAATAATGCAGGTACATATGTAGGTAATTTTTGTTTCTTGATAATGAGAAATATAATTACTCTCCCTAAAACTTAATTTTATTACTGTTATTGTTGCTTTTAAGAACTTCAGTTATTTAATGTGAATTTCTAATATAAAAATTTTATTTGTTTTTGCAGAGTGCACCCCAATGCATGGTCCTCTTCTGATTTCAGGATTGGGTATTATAGCTTTAGCGGAATTACTTGGATTAGTTTATATGAAATTTGTTGGTAAGTCAACTTTCATTTTTATTAGTCTATGCCAAGAATTTCAAATATACTATGATTTGGAAAATGCTTTTGGTTGGTTCGTACAGCTTAGGATCAAAGAAATGTATTGGAAACTAATGAAAAAAGTAGAAATCATGAGATATTGAAAAGTTTAGATTATAGCCTAGTTTAAAAGAAAATGGCTGTATGTTTTAGAATGTATAAACCTTTTTATGCTATGGAAAAGGAGAATTGGTTGAGGATTGATTTTAATAAATAGAAAAGGGTTTTTAATTGGCCATTGTTTGTGTGATAGCGCTCTTTCACAGAGACCTACTTCTCACTTGCTCTTCTTGCAGACTGGACTGATTATAGGCCTTGATGCCCAGAAGTGGACAGGAATTAAAATTCAAAATCTGTCATTTTTGCTAATTAAGGAGCAGTGTCCTCTGATACTTGACTTTGAAACATATTTATTGAAAAGCATTACACTATAATAAAAACATTGTGTTTTAAAATCTAGGCTTTTGTCATTTTTAAAATCAATTGTTATTAAGTGTGGAATCAACTTATTGTGTCTAAACTTTGTACTTAATCTGCCAATTTTTAGTTTACAGATTTTTGTATGTTATTTTTTAAAATATATTTTTGTTGATTTCAGAGAGGAAGGGACAGGGAGAGAGAGACAGAGACATCAATGATGAGACAGAATCATTGATTGGCTAACTCCTGCACACCCCCCATTGGGGGTAAAACCAGCAACCCAGGCATCTGCTCTGACCCAGAATTGAACCATGACCTCCTAGTTCATAGGTTGAAGCTCAACCACTGAGCCACACCAGCTGGACTGTATAAGTTATTTTTAATACATAAATAAAGAGATAGGTGCTTTTAATAGTGAGTGCCTAAAGATGTTCTCTACAATCTGGTTTTTCTTAGTGTTCCTTAAAACACTCTAAATTTATGAAGTAAAGTAAACTCTTAAACATTTATCAGAATAATTAAAAGTTACAAACTAATGAAGTAAAAAAATCAGTCTTTGTGCTTTACTTTAGGCATTACTTATGTGTTTATAAAAATTCATATAAACCTTGAATTATTCAATTCAAATAATTTTTTAATTTAACAAATTCAAATAGTCAAATAATTTTCCATATGACTTGCACAGTACTTTCAAAGAATTTTATCTTTATTTTTGAACTTCAGCTTTTGCTGACTGGTCATGGAGTTCAATTCTGTTATATATTCTTTGTCTCTCTTTAATGTTTATTAAACAATTAAAACACAGTACTTAACTAAAATTTACCTATCTTTAGTTTATGTGTTCATAAAATCAGAGTGGTTTTGTCACTAAAATTTTCTCAGTTCATGCTTCATAAATTCCTAAAATACAACTAAGACTTATAAAGCAGAATTGCCTTCATTTGGTAGCTATCAGGAGCATCACATTATGAGTGTTGATACATATTCTATTTTTGGTGAATCTTCTAATCACCATTTGTCTGGTTCTGGAAAATGGAACTTCTGATTATGTTGCTCCCTGTGAATGCCTGAGAACAGTATGTGAGCTACAGTACCCATACAGCATTATGTAGTATTAGGTATCACTCACTGATGGTCAGATCTTCGTTATTTTTTCCCTTCATTATCTGGTTTGCCCTCCCTTTTATTGCCATACCCCCATGCTTTTCACGTCTAACAAAGAAGGATGTGCTGTACAGTTGCCAGTAGATCTGGAGATGCTGACTCAAGTGGAAACAGGCATTGTCTAGCTGCCAGCCCTCTTGACCTTGCTCTCCCCTTTCTCCATTGCCAACATCCCTAAGAAGCCTGTGAAACTATAAAATTACAAACGTACTATTCTCACATGAAAAATAAAGGGAAATTATGAAAATTTACCAGGTTATTTTTTTCTTTCATACTTAAATATGCCATGTGTAAATTAAGAATTTAACCCATTTTATTGACATGGTGAGAATATTCTAAATTAACTTTTCACATCAACCTGCCTGATGCCAGAGTTCAGAGGCACCCCTGCCTTCAGTTGAAGGGCAAGAAGAGCAAAGGTACAGGAACGTTGCTCTGTAGATGCTGCTGTAGACTAGGAAAATGGATGTGTGTTTCTAATAGAGTCTGTGAAGCTGAGTAGGTATAACATTAAGGTTGCTAATTTGAGCATTTTAAACAGGAAGTAAAAATTGTAAATGTTTCCAGAATAACTTTTGCTCATTGCAGATGCTCTGTTTTGGAAAAGCCTAATGAATGTGTCTTAACTTAAATGCAATAAAATCCTCATATAGTTACAAAAAAGAAAAAAAAATCCAAGCTATCTTTTTAAGATTAAGTTAATGTTCCTATGAGAAGTTTAACTTTGATCATTTGCATTATTTCCAAGTTTAAATTTGTACCCTTACCTGTTACTTTAAGGAGTAAGATTTTAACTTTCACTTTCTCTGGTCTTCTTCTTTAACTGTGTTGGATTCTTTTTCATAGAAGGATTTAAATTTTATAAAATGAAATTAGGCACTGGAAACAATGATAATATGAGAATGTATAGAAGATTAAAAGGAACTCGATCAAGTTAAGCCTGTTACTTATATAGGATATTTACATACTTGTTAATTTTTTAAAATTCATTACCAGTATAAGGACTATAATCATGTTTTGATACAAATCAACCTTGTAGCAGTCAGAAACCATATTGACCACATCTCATATATTAGAATGACATGGAATAGAGAGAGATATATAAAAATTTCAGTGATATTGTCTAGGGCGGGGGGATAAAATGGACACATATGTAATACCCTTTGTAATATTTTAAGCAATAAATAAAAAAAAATAAAAAAAATAAAATGAAAATTTCAGTGATATTGTCTTGTCCAATGTGGAGGTAAGGTGAATTCTGGAATCAATAAAAAAAGTATTTCTGAAAATGCACAAACTAGAATTATATTTATGACATGTGGCAAGTGTTTCAGGGAGAAAAGAGTAAGTAAAACATTGCAAGTGAGCTCATATGAAATGCTTAAGGGTTTGTGGTTTTAAAAATGATGTAGATGTGGCTGTTGATGCCTTAGGCCCATGGTGGCAGCAGATACATTACCGTCATTCTTCTGTTACATAGGTCAGATGCTTATTGGAGAGGATTAACTCAGGCAAAATTAACTTCTGTGCTGTTTGGTTTTATTATATTAGAGGGACCACAGCTGACCTGTGTCCCTTTGAATCACTGTTCTTTATAGACCCATTTTTTTTTTCAGAATAGGCTCAGCAAATCTGATGTTCCTTGTGCCTGAGAATTGGAGCTCATAAACTGTTCTTTATATGTGATTAGGATAGAAAAGGAGCGACTTGGCAGTTCTTATTACTAATTCTGATGAATAAATTTCTGAGCTCAAAAATATAACTCTAAAATCTGACCTCCGACCCTTCACTTTAGCAATCAGTAATTTTCATAGCTGGTTAGTTCGCTTTTCTTGGATGGAACATAGATAGAGGGCATGGCTTAGTTGAAGTGAGTTATTTACATGTGCCAGTCATGATGGTGCCTAACAAAGTTCTATATTTCTGCCTGTTTCATTTGGAAAACTGCTAAATGTGAATCCACTAATATTGCCAAACCCATTTCTCTCCATAGTACTATAAAAATAGGTGTTCTTCTTGTTTGGTTGCAAGGACCAAACCACTTTCTGTGTACCTCCAGTCAGGGAGCTTTATTTAACACAACAGTAACAGTGATGGGAATCTCATGGGAGCAGGTACATAAGTGGGCCTCACAGGAAGTGGAACAGTAGGTTGTTGAGAAAGTGGAAGGATCCAGTATGTTTCCAAAGACTGAGTCATCATGCTGCCCTCTCAGGAACAAGAGTCAGTTAGCCCTTCTGCCAGTTATCATTACTTGGTTCCTCTCTCTGTGGTTCTTTCCCTGATAGCCAACTAGCTCATCCTCTCTTTTTTACGTTCTTATTCTTCATCTTATTTATGTCTTCTCACTGATAGCTTTTCTTACCTAGAGCTGTAAGCTTTGAGCTTCTTGCTTACTTTCCTTGTCACCTTCCTTTATCATCGCCAACATTCTAGTCTTCATCTGATACTCTCCCTTCAGATGTCAGGGGGAGAAGAAACTTTCCAGGCCAGTCAGCAGTCATTTTCCCTGTTCCAGAGCCTTATCAGCTTCTGGCCCACCTAGGGAGTGGCTGCCCTTGGGTCCGGTCTCACTTACCCACATTTCCCATCAGCTTTGGGAGCTTCATAAAGTGGGTCTGGAGGAAAGGTAGTAAATAAATAGCACAGAAAACTAGAGAAGTTCTGGGGCCTGCATCAACCTACTAATAAGCAAACCCAGTGCTGTCATCCAATTCAGAGCAGTGTGGTTGACTACTCTAACTGGTAGCATCCTCCTCCTCCAGAGTCATTCACAAGATGTTGCTGGTTGAGGCTTTTGTATCTGCAGGACCCTGATTCTGTATTTGGGACTGGTTTTAGCTGCTCTGGGTGCTCCTCGCTTTTTTTTTTTAAGGAAGTTCTCTCTTCTTCTTTATGCGTTTAGAGCAATTCTTTTTCCTTTGTCAAGTTCTTCATGCCCTATATTCCTTCATCTTCGTTAACCAACCCATTCAGAAGCAGTGAAGGATAAGCTAAGAAGGAACACATAGAGAAGGACTTGGCTGTAGCTGAAACTACCTAAAGTAATTCTTTAAACTCAAAGGGATCTTAATATTTTCTTTCATTTGTTACCAACTTGGAGCTTTGAAAACTGGAAAGATGAAAGAAAAGAAAAAGACTGGGCTACAAGGAACAAGAGCAGTGAGCTAAGGGTGGGCAGTGGAGCAAAGGCAGAGATTGGTCACTGTCACATTCTGCCACTTAGTAGGGAGGATGTTGAGTCCACAGTGGGATGAGCAGATGACACAGTTTTTCCACCACAAAGTGGGGGAGATATGGTATATGCAAGTGAGCAAATGGGTATGTTTATTATTTGATGCAGATGGATTATTTGCACCATTTTAATCTGTCAATTCATATAATTCAGAACGTTCTTTATTTTTTAAAATATATTTTTATTGATATTAGACATGAAGGAAGAAGGAGAGAGAGAGAAAAACATCAATGATGAGAGAGAATCCTCTATCGGCTGCCTCCTGCAAGCCCCCGACCCGGGATTGAGCTTGAATCCCTGGCGTGCGTCCTTACCAGGAATGGAACCATGACTTCCTGATTTATGGGTCGATGCTCAACCACTGAGCCACACCAGCTAGGTGAAGATTCTGTATTTTTTAAATAGACTATCAAAACTGAAACTCAGTGGACTTTTTGGCACCTCTAATTTTAGCCCTAAACATTTTATTTTAAAACTAAACAGTGGACTGGCTTAATTTCTTTATTAATCATTTTCTTGTGTTTTAATTTTATCAGCTTCCAATCAGAGGGCTATACAGCCTCCTAGGGTAAGTTAAAATTTCTTAAATGAATTGGGTCTGATCACTTGATAGTTTCGACTGAGGATTGGTAACTGAGATATAGAACTCTTTTGCTATCTGTTTAGTGTAACATCAAATTAAGAGAACAATGAAGTCATTTCATAACCTTTGCATGAATAGATCCAATTCTATTTTAAAACCTATGTTTGGTCATTTAGTAGCAATGGGATATAAATGATTTCTTATGATAAGGCAGACTTCTCATACCCAGTACTGAACAGTTTATGTGTAAGAATAATGGTCATTGTCTCTACTGAAGGAAAGCTGACTCCAATATATCACCTTACCTGTTATATTTGATGTGCGTATACAAAACAGTATTTCAGGCTTAAAATGAGGGATAAATTTATATTAAATTACATTATTTTACTTAAAATAATAATCTATAAAATAAATTTAAATGTTGCTTTAAAGTACCTGTTCCGAATTATGATTCATTTCCCTAATTTTATAAGCATTTTCCTTCCTCCACACTGTATTATTATTTTCACTATATCTTTGGATATCTTATTAAGCTTTCTGAGTAAATTCCAAGAAAAGGAGTAAATTTAGGAGATAAACTGAGAGAAATAAATTAGATGGGTTAAAAGAAAACCTTTATAAAGAGAGACTCATCATTTGCACAAAGTAGCTTATTTGCACAAAAGCTACATTTTGCAAATAACATTGGAAAGGGCTGTATTGTACTCATCTTCCCATAAAGGATTTAATGGCAGCTGTACCTGGAATGCCACAGGTGAGACTCCTGTGTGGCAGGAAGTGGGGATTGCATATGCTGCTAATTCTGATGAGCCTCAACAGACATGCCTGAAAGGCAAGGGGGAGTAGGGGTGCTCTACCATGGGTGTTTATTCTAAGACTGGTGCCATAGCTACACTGTCACAAACACACAGCAGCTTTTCTTGTGCCTCTGTCAGAGCTTATCCAGCCACTAAATCCTAACACATTTTCTTTGCATGACTTACAAATGATTGTTTTGCTCTTATCTCTTGTTTAACTGTATTATTTATTATGTTGCTATGTATTTTGGACTTCAATAATTTTTTCAAGAAGTTAGGATTTCTTGAATAGACAGAGACTAGGTGGGGTGGGAAATTCTGCACAGAGAAAGAATGTTGAAAATAAGACACTTCTTAAACTATTAGTGCAGTGGTTCTCAACCTTCCTAATGCCGCGACCCTTTAATACAGTTCCTCATGTTGTGGTGACCCCCCAATTTCATTGTTACAAATTGAACATAATTAAAGCATAGTGATTAATCACAAAAACAATATGTAATTATATATGTGTTTTCCGATGGTCTTAGGCGACCCCTGTGAAAGGGTCGTTTGACCCCCAGAGGGGTCGCGACCCACAGGTTGAGAACCGCTGTATTAGTGAGACTTGGCAAGCTTTGCTTTTTAACCTTTATTGCCTTCCTTTACACCATAGGATTCACTGTCTACTACATAGTTTAAATGTTAGCGTATATAAATTTCAATATGAAGGACATGAAATAGATTCTATTTTTTTATAAATGTGTTTTACATATTTTTCAGAAAGCTGTAGAGGAACCCCTTAATGGTATGTGATTATTACAAACTTGTATATTTTTCTTGATCTATTACCAGATCATAATTTTAACCGGCCCCCAAGCAGTTTTGTCTTTACCTTGGGAAAAATCCAGTGTTTTGTTTTTTTTCTTTCTTGACCTCTCTTTTTTGATTATTAATCAAGAATTAAGAGTATTGCTTTGTATTGTTCTCACCTCTGAGAAAAATGCACTGCTCTGTATCTCCCAAGTAGTTGCATGCATTAGCAAGTGATATTGGGCGAGGGGACTACTGCTTTCTCATACTGGCCAAAAGGAAGTCTGTAGCAGCACCCCCAGTATAGAAGAATCTCAATTATAATTTCTGATTTATAAATTTTAGGAAGATATAGTCTCTCACCATGGAGTGAGACCAAAACACTTTCTTTTACTTTCTTTCTCCCTAAATCTAGATCTATATTCTCAACTGATTATTTTATTTGTGGGGGGGCTATGGGTATGATCCACAGAAAGGCATTGTAATCAGATGCCTTAAAATTAATTTGTATTGACAGCTCTGGAATAGTTGGCATGATATTACTACCTAGTTGTTTATTTAGAAATGATTTTTAATTATGGAACCTTTCTAATTGCTTGCTTGGCTTGTTACTAATTCTTAGCATTTAAAGAATCGAAAGGAATGATGAATGATGGTGAGTATAAAAAGCACATACAATTATAGATTGGTTAAAATACGGACATTGAAAAGAAATAAAATTGCTTCCTGGAAATATGGCGTTTTAAATAAAAGGGACACTGTCAAAGCATAAAGGTTTACACGTGTTTATTTACAAAACTTAAATCTACTCTGTTAAAATTGCACCACTAGTCATATAAAAGCTGTAGGGTGTCACCCATCAGATCTCCAGTCCTACTGCTCACAGCAAAGAGAAGCTACTGCCTTTTAAAAAACCTTTCTGATGTAGTGAAAGTTACTGTGAAATGGTTTTTATATGACACATAGATAATCTGGCACAAATCTTTATAACCTTGACAGAGTTCCTTTTGTGCTTGTGTTGGTGATTTTGTTGCATTTAACCCATGGGGCCTTAATATCTCTGCTTTTTCATAAAGGAACTTGGTTCTAACCTTTAGGGAGAGGATTTAAAAGAAGAGAGAGAGCACAGTGGGTGTGGCTCAGCAGTTGAGTATCCACCTAGGAACCAAGAGGTCACTGGTTCCACACATGCTCAAGTTGTAGGCTTGATCCCCAGTGCAGGAGGCAGCTGATCCATGATGTTTCTCTCTCATTGATGTTTCATCTCTCTATCCCTCTCCCTTTCTCTCTCTCTAGGGATCAACAAAAAAAAAGTTAAAAAACAAACGAATACCAACTCTTCCCTGCCCTCCCTTACAAATCTCTCTCTCTCTCTCTCTCTCTCTCTCTCTATATATATATATATATATATATATATATATATATATATGCCTAAGCGACTGTTACCACCAGTCGACCGAACAACTGGTCGACCAGTCCCTATCACGTGCACTGACCACCAGGGGGCAGGTGCTTAATGTAGGAGCTGCCACCTGGTGGTCAGTGCACTCCACAGCCAACCTCCCACGGCCAGCCAACCTCCTGAGTTCCCTCCCCACATCCAGCTGGGTGGTCAGTGTGCTCCCACAGCCAACCAATCGTGGACCTTCTCCCTGGCCTGCCAGCCCAATCAGCCCTGATTGGGACTGGGCGAGGGGGCCCCAATAGCCAGTCAGGCCAAGGGACACACCTATGTACAAATTTTTGCACCAGGCCTCTAGAAATAAATAAAAAGAGAAAAAAATTTTGGTCACTCCAGTTTTTTCTTTTTTTTGGGGGGGGGGGGTGCACTCTGGCTAACAATTTAAAATTTTTATTAAATATTTCAAACACATTTGTTAAAGAAGTCAGAGATAATTGAATGCTATAAGTATTCATTTAGTTCTGTTTGCACTTTAATGTGTTTTTACCTTGTCGAAAACTTCTTCATGTGTTTAGTATTTGCTGTCATGTCTTGATCATTTGAAATAGCTCACTTTCCATTTTACTGTTTTAAAGTCTGTGACCTACCTGCTCACCTCTCTTGCAAAAGTGCAGCATTTATCTCAAGAGTCTATATTCTCGAATACAATTAATGTTTGCCTAAGAGTAAAATCACATAATTGTGTGTTGTGGATTAAGTTTAAAACAATGTTTAGGCTGTGTTTAACAAGGAGGCACAAAATGATCCCACTTTTGTAGCTGTGTGTCACAGCCTTTATTACAAAAATGCATGTTTTATTATACTAACTACGGTCATCCAAAAAAATTGTAGTTAGTAGGAATAAATGAAATGGTATTAAACAAAGAACTGGTGCGTGGAATTGTGGCATGGTTTGCTTATGTTTTCATTCTGGTGTCCTATTTTTTAAAAAATTTTTGTTCTTTCCTTTTCTATTGTGGAGTAATTCTTCTTTAGTTGATTAGAGTAATGAAACCCCTTTTCCCCATGGTCAGAAAGCCAGTATAAAACCTTGAGTACCATTTCCATTGTTAATTTCCTTTAAGATGTGACTTTTTTTGAACCACTGTATGGGGAGAGATAGCAGTTTTTATTTGTTAATAGCACATAAAATCAATAATGACCTTTGAAATGTCCTTAATTTTGCTAACATTTAGCTGTTCAGAATTTGTCGGTTAAATTTAAATGTCTATCTGGTGGGATCGTTGAGCTGACAGCTAACAGCATGATGCTCACAGTGTGTCTGCCTCATCCATGAGTGAGGTTCAAAGTACCCTCCTAGGGAACGTTTCCTATTTGATTTATACCGAATCACATGTTTGTTTCACTTGCATTAAATGAATGATACAGATGTAAAGTGAATGTGATACAATAGTATTCTATGAGCAGTATCTTTTGCTTTACAAAATCAGCATCCCTTGGTTTGTTCTCAGCTTACCCAGCAAATGAAAGTGATCAGACTTGGTTGATCTTTACTCTCATTTGGCATTGCCCTTTCCCTTCCTGCCACAAAAATGACTAATGATCTGCCTGCCTTATATCTGTGACCTTTGCGAACTTAAGATTGAATACTTTATTTTCAGATATTGTAAACTTGAAAAAATTCCATATTTTTAAGATAAATCAACTTGTTAATGCATAGAAAATAAACACATTAAATGTTCATTTCTCAATTTTTCAGAGTAACTGAATTGAAGTGAGGGACTCTGACTTGCAGAGTAGTAAGATATGAAAGGAATGCACTTCTGTTTAAGGACCCTGACCTTGACTCATTCACTGTTCAAGAGAAGAAAACAAGAAAAGTGAATCTCATCTATAAGAGAAAGTAAATCATTGACTTTTAAATGGTTATTACAGTTAAGTATCTATTCAAAACATTTATGACTTAGTTAATAAAAGTATTAATGATCTGTGTTGTGTGCCCAATTGCAATCCAGTTTTTTATTGTTAATTTTCTTCGATTAGGAGCAAAAGTAGAGTGGGCAACTTCCAAGAATGACACCTTTCAGATTCTAGGACCTTTTGACTTTCGGTCACCAGTGTAAATTGGTTCAATGTGAGAATAACCTGGCACTAACCTGGTGGTTACCCAGAGATGTCACTGAAAAATGGTGGCTTCCATCAAACCTCAGGAAACTGAGGTTCACAGCCACTTTGGCAGTTATGGTGTTAGCCGGATAATGTATCTGCCACTTCTAAGTCAAGGGCATAGCAAATTAAGTAAAGACAGGAATTTAGTTGGAAACATTTGTGTGTAGCTTTTGTGCAATGTGATACTCTTGGAGATCATGGTGTTCACTCTTGGGGGTTGCCATTCACGCATTCTTCCTTCAATAGATATAGGGTAATTTTATTGATGAACGTCTTTTTCTTTTATTCACACAACCTTTCACCCCTGTCTTGTCCTCCTGTTGTTTGCTTCTGCTGTGCAAGATGTAGCACCTTTTCTCCTCTTTGAACATGGTCCAGTGACATGGTAGCGTCATTGCAGAAAGGAGCCAGACTTGTTCTCAGAGAACTGTGTTCACACGTTTCAGCAAAAATAGCGATGATTGTAACATATGTATTCCCTTCCTTGGATTTGAAGGCACAGTCTATGGTGTTTTTTCACTTCTCTTCTGATCTGGGGCATGAAAAACCAAGATGGAGGTTTTAACTGTGTGTCCCCTGCATGGCAACAAAGTGTGTGTCACTGTCAGGCCAATAGACCAGCCCTTGAAAGGGTGATTCTATAGCTACTGTATCTGTGTTGCATGATATACACCCATCATCTTCCTCCTGTGTCCTGCCTCATATCCCCCTGACTCCACGATTGAAAAGTAAAGCAAAACCCCCCGTTTTCTACTCCATTAGAAGAAAATTAACGTTCCAGTGTGGTCACCTGGAGAATGTTTAGGTTATTAGCACTCATTTTCCTCCTTTGTGGGTGTATATTTGTATGTGCACCTGTGTAAGACAGGCACATGCTTCTTCTGTACAAACAATAGTGGGTACCTACAGGGGAGCAAATGCTAATTCATGCCTTTAGCAAAAACATTTAAAAACAAAGATCTTTATTGAGTGGGATTATGTTTTATGAGAATATTTGATCACTTAAAACTTTTAAAACTTCTAGGTCAGTAGCCAAGTCTTTTGACTGCTCACCAATACCCTCTAAAAATACTAGTGATTCTTCCTGCTTGTGTAATAATAAGACATTCCTATTTGTAGTCATATTATGAATACTTATTTCCCAGTCCACTGAATGTTCCCATGTGCCTCTTTAATGTCAAATTGATTGTCATATTTCATGTTGGGACCAAGTGGTTTGCCCAGGGTAAACCAGAATTTATGACCCGTGATGCCTCTCAGAAAACCAAACACACTATGAAGAGTGCGCTTCTTGAAAAAAAAAAGAAAAGAAAACTAATTTTTCCTTATTTGTGTTGCTGTCCAAAATATTATATTATGTAGAGGGAGCTGTATTTTTTATACAACTTGCATGGCTCCTGCTGCTCTTTGTTTTCTGAAAATATTTATGTTTTAGGAATATTGTTTGTTATTTTAGAAAACAATTTCATTGAAAGGAGGGAAAAAGCAGATGGACTTGAAAAAGATTGAAATTCTTATTCTCTATTAAGAAAAAGTCAGCTATGAAAATCTTTATAGTGAACTTTTTAATACACTAACATTGTACCTTTTAATATGCAGTAAGTTCTCCTTTATTTAGGGTTCAACTGGGACTTATCCATCCTTTGTGGTTTTTAACGCTGCCTATCTTTGGAGGCATTCACTGCATGAGACAAGGCAGAGAGGTAGCAGGATAAATGCCAGGTGAAAGCAAGTCTCGTTCTGAGTCATTGTCAGCTTCTCTGGAAAAGGGACCACAGATCCCTCTTGCTTGGGCATCATTGGGCCAGTTCACTCTCATTCAGTCAAACTTGTCATGGCTCCCAACTTTCTGTCGCACCTAATTAAAATTGCTAGCCTTGTTTTGGGGATCATATATCTATTTTCCCCCATAACCTGCTTTTTACTTTATGATCTCGTTTTTGCCATTGATTCTTCTGTCCAATTTTATTTATTGTGTGTCCTCAGAGTGATGCCATTTGTCATTTTTGCAGCAACCGTTTCAAGCTTTCTGGCCAAATCAAATTTTCCCTCTGCCACAAAACATTGTCTTTCAGCCCTTCCTTCCCCATTTCTCTCACTTGATTTGAAGATTCCTGCATAGTCAGAGCTTCACCCCCCCACCCTTTTTTCCCCTCAGTGTCTTACATACATTAGATACCCAGTATACATTTGATGATTGAGACTTGATTGTATGTAGATGTCCCATTATTTTTAATAGAGTGAGCAAGAGTTTTCTTTTTGGACAAATTTCACATAATCTGAAAACCTTCAGAGGTGGTAATTTTTCACCTGGAAACTCCAGGTTCATTCTGTTTAAAATTTCTGAGAATGTCAGAATAAAATAATGAGGCTAGCCCATAATCGGAAGTATTGATCTTTCCAGGATGCTGTAGTCACTATAGTAAGTGACCAAACAAATTGTGGTTTGAGTGAAGAAAGCTCAAAACTGATGCGTTTACTCCTTCATCTCAATAAGAATTAAGCTCTATTCCACCTCTAGATTTCTCTTGTCCCAAAGTGAGTATTCAAAAATGGACATCTGTCATATTATGTATGGAAATACATACCCCTTATCTACCTATCCTTGGAAACTAGAGAAATGATTGTTGGGCAACCCTTTATCTTTTTATGATATTTTGTTTGATGGTGAGTATGATCAGAAAGTTTTACTTGTGTTGTATTTTCAATATCACTAACTGCCATCTCCCACTGGGGTCCTTTGTGAGTTTCCATGGCTAAAAGGGATAACCCAGGTACCTTTCAAGAGATGAGCAGTGAATGGGCAGTTTCCTGCCTTTGGTTTTTGACAGCTCTTATCATTTAAGTCCAGCTTTCCCATAAATTTAGCTTTTAGGTAAAAAAGAAAGCATTTGTAATAAGCTTCTCTGTAAGGCAACGTCAGTGGAATCTTAGATGTGTTGTTATTAGGATTGGTGAGAAAGGAAGACATTTGTTTTTATTAAATGGAGCATTATTTACAGAAGCCATCGCTGAGAATTAGATCCCACACCAGATGAATGTCCATCTACAATCTAAATAAAGAAAACTCCAGTGTTGCTATGTGCAAGATACTCTCTTGGGGGCTTTTTTTTCATAGCAATTAAAGGTGTGCTATTTTTCAGTAGTCATTTTCCGAAGTGATTTAAAGACCAAAGTTGTTTTACAGCTGTGTTACATTAAAGGTTTTTTTATATGTATTAAATCAATTATCAGTGTTGATGCTTTGAATATCTGCAATCTTTGTCAAGGCACTTTTTTATTTAAAAAACATAACTTTGTAAATATTACCCTGTAATATTACATATACTTAATAAAACATTTTAAGCTATTTTGTTGGGCTATTTCTATTGTTACTACAGCAGACCACAGCACATTTCTGAGAAATTTTATGAATTTTTTTCAAGTCAACAATGAAAAGGATCACTTAAAATGTTAATTTATACATTCATTTTTAAAGTATGATATACATTAAGGAAACTTTTAATTGGACTAAAAGTTTTAATCAGCCTAGATCAGTGTGGCTCTGTGGTGTGGGGGGCATTACTGATGAAGAGCACATACATGGATTGCAGGTCACTCCCCTCTCATTTTGGGCCCATGTGGGAGGCAACCAATCAAGGTGTCTCTTTTATGTCCATTTTCTCTCTCCCCCTCCCTCTGTCCCTTCCACTCTCCTCAAAAAATTAATGGAAATAATATCCTCCAATGAGGATTGACAAAACAAATAAAAAGTTTTAAACAAATCCTACATGTTGATTTTTCCCACAGTACAGTGACAACAGCACATGAGAAAGCTAGAGACTCTAGTCCTGGCTGTGCTGCTAGCTAGCAGAGGAGCTTGGTAGGTAAGAGGAGCCACCTACCTGGGCCTCAGTGTCCCTCCTCCTGTGTAGAATGAGATAATCCTCTTCCAAAATTGAACGGTAAATTCAAACCTTCTCCATTTTGGTGGGTTATCAATTAGGGCTATTTTGATTGGATGTGAAAGGAAACCTAAATCTAAGAAAAAGGGGGCTTATTGGCTAGCATGATTGAAAATTCAGATGTACAACTGGATTCTGGGTCCAAAACAGTATCAGAAGGATCCAATGTCTCGCCAACTTTCAGCTTTCCTCTCCTTCTGATTGCTTTCCTGCCCAGGTTGCCTGAGAGGGCAGAGGGCTGACTGCAGTCTCAGACCCACCTTCTCCCAAGTTCAGGGAGAGGAGAGGGGAGCCAATGGAGTGCATCTCCCTTTCTCAGGAGTCCCATCCGCCCCAGATGGCACCTCTGTGCAGCCCTCACTAAGTCAGGGAACCCAAGCATCTGATGCTCTGATTGAGCCCACCAGGGGCCTGGGGATCGCTAGAGTGGAAGTGAGGGTTCCGCCTGGAGTGGTGCTGGGGGTGAGGTGAAGTTAACTTGAAGCCAGATCAGAGGATCTTTACCAGATGATGGGCTGTCATTGGATTTGGGGGGCACAGAACTCTGTGCTGGCCGGGCTATTTATGTATTTATTTTTCAAATAAATAATGATTTAGCTCTTTCATCGATTCATAAAGGCTTTCTTAGTGCTGCATTCCTTGCAGGTGTGGACTCCGAGTCTGCGTCGCATGTGTGGTTCTAGAGCATTTGAACAGAACAATATTTGGCAGCAAAGGACTATCTCATTCCTTACTTCGTAGGCGATTTAATTTTTGCGCATTTACGAGGCCTTTTTCAGCCTCAGCAGGAGTAACTAAATGGAGCTCAGAAAGCATTTAATGGCCCACCTCCTGCACAGAAAGCTGTTCTGGGTGGCACAGACCTTCCTCCGCCT